GCAGGAGAAAGAGGAGATGGATTGGACACTCGCTGAGGAGGCCGTTGGGTGACATCGTGCGTCAGGCCAGTGCTCGGGTGGAACCCGAAAGGGAAGCGGCGAGTGGTTCGTCGGTGCAAGGGTGACATGGAGGAGATCGTGTGAAGAGGAGTTGAAACAGTATCGACTAACATGGATGCAGTTGGTGAAAAGTACAGCAGAAGGCAGAAGCAAGTGGAGACGTGTAGTTGAAGCCCTATGTTCCACTAGGAACCCAAGGGAACAATAATAATAATGATAATTATAATCTGATCAAGTTAACTAACACAAATGAAATGCTATCAAAACCGTCTTCACTTAAATCTACCAGTCAGCAACCAGTCTAAAAATGTTAAAAGACTTTGACAAAGCAAAAACGAAGGGTAGTTTTGCATAAATGCAATAAATAAGACAAGTATCACTGAAGTGAAGAGAATGCAGATAATAAAGATAAAAAAGATTACAGATAAGCACAGATGAGTGTTTTCGAAACAATCAACTGTATGCGACAATAATGAAAATATGAGCATACGATACTAACGACTTTAGAAAAAATATTGACGTGTGTATACCAATCATAACTAGAAATTTACGTCTCAGTAGATAAGGTAACACATCAGATTTCTTTTAAACAAACAAACAAAAAGAAAACAACCAATAAATATTTTGTTTGTCGTATATTGCATATGATGTACGATGATGATGATGAAGTTGAACAGCCTGTTCAATGTCAACAACCATTTAAGTAAGTTTCAACATGCTCTCAGAGTATCTCATTAAAAGGGATAGATTAAATGATACCTAAAACAAACACCACATCAGTTTGTTTTCAAAACACACACAAGTACTAATACCATCAATTAAAAAGGTATAATAATAATAATTAGAGGTAAGAACAGATTACAAACGAGATGTCAGTGAGAACTATACCACATAAAGCCCTAAAATTCCACACTACCTACAGTTAGTTTCGGCAAAGATAAAAACCCATACTGACCACAGGGAGTTTACTCTTCGTTTATCTAATTGATAATAATAGTCAAATGAGTGTCAGTTCATGTGATTTTACTATTCAGAGTTAACATTTCTCTTGGCAGTATGAATGAAGCACAGACAATTTCTCCTGCCTAATCATCACACATAGCCTTAATATTTAATAAAGATTTCTAATATGGTATGTGCTTTGCACCGTCTAAGTGCAAAGTACTGTTACAAGATTGGCAGGAGTCTGTACATGCACTCACTCTTGCGGGTGAACCCCTTGAAGTTGTTGATAAGTTTGTGTATTTGGGTAGTTGTGTGAGTGCTGGTGGAGGGGTGATGGATGAGATTTTCAACCGTATAATGAAGGCTAGGGTGGCATACATCAACTTCATCCACCTCTGGCGCCGTCACGACGTTAGCCTGGCTGTCAAAGGTCGGGTGTACACTGCTTCGGTGCGGGCTGTCTTGCTCTACGCCTGTGAAACCTGGCTTCTCCTATCTGAGGATGTGAGGCGACTCCGTGTATTCGATCATCGCTGTCTCCGCAGGATTGCTTGCGTTCGATGGCATCATCGCGTGAGTAATTCTGAGGTTCGGCGGCGTGTGTTTGAACACAGTGGAGATCACCATTCATTGAGTGTCGTCATCTAGAAACACCAGCTCCGGTGGCTTGGACATGTGCTTTGAATGCCATCCCAGAGGCTTCCGTATAGGTCTCTGTTCGCTAGCCCTGGGACGGGATGGAAAAGGCGGAGGGGTGGTCAGTTCATGACGTGGCGTCGTGGGATGAAGGTTGTTTGTGCTAGATAAGCATCGGTTGGTGCGTCACGACTACCTGGTTTGGCTCCGCGAGATAGCTCGAATCGATGGCTCGAAACGTTATCGGATATGGCCAAGAGTCGTAATCAATGACGGACGTGCTGCAATTTCCTTCTTTCTTCCCTTCCTGATGATAGTTAACGAATACTATTTGATCATATATTGTGATTCCAATAGTCTCAGCTTCTGAAGAACACTCTGATGAAATTTCCCTTAGAATTAATCTGCAAATTCATGTGGTTGATTTCTACCTTTCCGTAGTTCGTATATTTCGCGCTTAGAAACACGGATGATTCAGTATAGAAAGCTACTCTCCATTTGACAGTTTCATATTTTCATATTTTGGTGATCATTACAAAACAACATGCAGATTGCTTAGAAGTTGGCTAACAATAAGTTGACTAAAGTTATGAAGAAAAGCAGAAAAAAACCCAGCGAAGAGAACTTTTTTTATCACCGAAATCATTCTTCCAAAGGCTGTGTAATCAAATTCATGCTTAAGAAAGACTTATAACAGTTTGGTTACTGAGTGGCATGGGGATGTGGAATAATAGATACAATTACTGAAAAGTGGTTTCTGTAGATGTAAAGGAGATACATGGCAATCAACTACACAATGGAAGTAGGGATTTGAAATTTGACAAGGTGAAATTTGTAACAAGGTAAGGAACGCAGTAACTGAGCTCCCACCTGATAAGACTGTAAAGTCTTAAAAGATAAATACGTAGATAAAGAAAATTTCCTTGGCTGAATTGCTTGTTTCAACAGTTAGTTCGTAGAGATTTAATTTGTTTCAAGTTTCATCAAGGACTGATGTCAGTTGGAGAAGCACTGAAAACCAGAGAGTTCTAAGGAGCTGTTTCATCTCAGTTTGGGATTCTATGGCAGTACTCACCCACCGACAGGGTTCGAGCCCGTAGTCCACTCAGCCACTGAGACCCGATCCAATGGATTATGAATTCCACCATATGCTGATTCGTGATTTTAGCGCCACCACCAGCCAATATCAGTAGCGATTATTTATCTTCACATCCGACCTGGTGGACCCCACTGGTCACGACTTCTTACTAGAACTCAAGTTTCACTAGTAACCGGAGAGCCCTCGGTTCCAACCTGATAGGTTGCGAACTGAGACGAAACAGCTGCTCAGTACTCCCAGGTTTTCAATGGTTCTTTAAATAACATCAATCCATGATCAAACTGGAATTATTTTTTATTTCCTTCACGACTCATTGAGTGTTTCCAGTTTTTTTTATACAAAACTGACGACAGAAGACAAGGGCCAGGCAACAGATCGTTTATTGACGAAATCACGAGATATTTATAGATTTTTATGTACATTATTATTCGTTATTGTTAACAGAGAAGCAACGTCTTCTGGTTGGTCGTTTTTCTTGCTCAAGGTTATTCTGTCATCTCTTTGTGGCCGTTTCTTAGACAGTCCGGTCATATATCTGCGAATCGTATCCAGCCACGTTAAGTCTGCTGTGATTGGTTGGTGAGTTCATCAAGGTTAGGCTTTGTTCTTGTTTTTTTCTCATACCCACAATTTGGTACGTAAACATTGACGTCAATTGTTGTCTACAATTTTGTCTTGCAGACAGCTCTCACCACAAAACTATGTAGAGATGTTTAAAATTTAAATGGCATGGAATTCGAAAGTCAGTATGATTGTGGTCGATTGTATATTGCAGTACACTTAGTACACTTCCACATAGAACTTAGTCCAACAGTCACAGACGTCGTGGATGAGAGTATCGAATCTTCCACTGAATATCTTACAAAATAATACTATTTCAGCTGGGATCACTCTTCAAGGCAGTAACTTGACATTTAAATTTTAGGCCACTGAACAGATGAAGACTAACAACAACACTGAAAGTGTATTATAGTGCAAAGCCTTTCAAAATATCCAGTAAGAGACACAATCAAGCCTTATATGTAAACCTGAGCGATATGATGGAGATTTATAGCTCAGGCGGATGATTTCGAAGTAGTTGTGTTCTCTGAGCTGGACGGCTTCTTTAAGAAGCTTTCATTGCCCTACTAGGCAACATCGTCAGTGCATACTTCAATTTGATGAAGTGAGCTTTTAAATTTCTCCACGAGTTTATAAGTCATCTCTCCTGGTGACCTTGAACGTGATTGGTTGTTTTTGTGTGTTTTCACACCCTCTAGACTACTTCTATTGGTACTGATTGTTTCCTTGACCTGAAGTTTGACCCTTTGTGTATGAGATTTCTTTCTTATCGATTGGTAAATTTTGTCTATATCAATGTGTCTATTGATTGACGATTTACTGGAATCCCTGGCTTCTAGATATTCTCTAGCATTTTTAAGTGTCTAATATTTGAACGTTGATTGTTCCAGTCGAATTGATGTCCGTGGTTGTCTGTATGCAGTGATATGAGGTAGTGGATGTCATGTCTTTTGACGGCTACTTTATGTTTATGGATGCGAAGAATACGAAGAGGACGTCCACTTTGGTAAATGTAGTGTTCTCCGCAGTTGTTACAAACTTATTTTATAGATGATGTTGGTTTTATCTTCTTTAGCTGTTGTGTATTTTGGTTGACACAGAGCCAACTGAGCTAAGTGATTTTGTTGGTTTGTAAATTATGTAAACACGACAACAGAAAATAATTTAGTAACGTAGGGTAAGTTACGTTGCCACAAATCAGCAGGAAGCTCGAGGACGAATCGCCTAATTTTGGAGCAGCACTGCAAATGGTATTTCACAGATTTCAACCAAAACTTACTGTAAGACAACATAATATTAATTATTATTTATTAAAAAATATAGTTAAATAGTTTGAATATGTAAAATCACCGGGTTCGACTCCTGGTAGACACTAGCAGGTAGTCAACCCGGAAAAGAACGAAAGTTGCGTGTGAGGCTAGCAGCAACCCCACGTCGTACAAAAACACCACCACCTTTACTGAAAATTCAACGGAACATAAGGAATGCGTCGGTGGCACAGTGGTTAGGACTCTCGCCGACCATGCACATGGTCCGGGGTTCGATCCCCTGCCGACGCATACCCGATATCTATGGTTGGCCTGTAAATTTGGGCTACTGATATCCATACTGAAAATCCCATACTTGTACTGAAAATACGGTATGGCATCAAGCTGTAATCAAAATAAAATAAAAAATAAAAAAAGATAGAAACACTTACTGCACGTGAAGTAGGTTTAGCTGAGAAGAACTTTTTGTTAGCCCTACTATGCGGTGGATTGAAACGGGGATTAAGAAAAATAATGCCATTTGAAATAGCCTCCAGAGGAGCAGGACCTTCATAAGGAAAACCTAGTCCAATCATTAACTAAAGTGATTAAGAAAAAGAAAAAGTGAGCATAATTCGATCATCAGTGAGTACAATTAAGAGAAAAAAAGCAATTCAAACTATGACCAATTATCAATTTTTATTTAGACTAAGAAAGAAGTAACAAATGCATTCTGATTCATATGTGTTTTTCTGTTGAAGATTTTTTTAAATGTTATTCCATGTACTGAGCAAATTTACGAGGGCCTCTGACAGTATACTGTTTTGCAGGTCAAAGTAGAAGGGATTATTTGAATTTGAGAACTAATAAATTGCCATCTGGGTGACTAAGCTGATAAAGTACATCCCGAAATAGTAAGAAATAACAACAATATACTGAATTATAACTACGAAATACTAAATGCAGATTTGACACACTTCATGTACTGAAATGGTGGAGAAGAATAAAAGTCCCCATAGACATTTTCGGTGTTATTGAAGTCTCCGAATTGGATGACTTAATTAAAGTTGAAGATATTGTCTAGACGGGCAATGCAGGCTTTGCAACTTAGCTACGGGCTACCAGAGCCCAACAACACCAAAAGATGTCACTATATGTTGCGACAGAAGCATTCATCCTTATATTATTATAATAACTGTCAAGATATATCCATGAGTATTCAGTGTTAAACGAGAGATAACACAGAGAATCGATAAATTGATTGGTTTCAGATGCAACAGGAAGACATAGGCTACTATAGTTTTAACAACGCGGAAAATATTTAATTTGTTGCTTATATGTAGTTCTGTACGACACAATTTGATGGAAACGAAACTGTTATGGATAACACAACAAAATGACGTGCGTATATTTTTGTTATTGTGTTTATTATTAGAACTTACAAATTCACTAATCTTTGATTTGCTGGCCTATGTAGACAAAGGGTGACTTTGAAGAGATAGATAGATGTCTCAACTATACCACTGATAATAAATTGACGGTATTTGATAGATGATCTCAAAGAAAAGATAACCATCCATTGGGATGCAAGTATGTTTAGTAGACAAGATCAAGATCGAATACGAACACATGTCCGTAATTTAATCGCTTGCCATTACCTATTAAATAACATCAATCCATCTGTGCACCGATAGTCTAATGGTAGAATGCTCACCTAATGCGCACATGGTTATTATTATTATTATTAGTGTTTCCTTTAATTCCTAGAGGAACATAGGGCTTCAGCCACAAGTCTCCATTGCGTTCGGTTCTCTGCTAGAATCTTCACCTGGCTCCAAGTCTGCCCACACGTTTTCATCTCCTATTCACATGACCCCCTCCAAGTCACCCTCACACTGACGACCAACTCGCCACTTCCCTTCGGGTTCCACTCGAGCGATGGCTTGTGTAGTGACGTCACTTCATGGTTTGTTTCCTCAGAGTATGGCCAATCCATCTCCATTTCTTCCTGCCTATTTGTTTCACAATCGGTTCCTGCTGTGTTGGTTCGCTCATTGCCAGAGATCTCTGTTGCTGATCTTCTCTGGCTGGCCATCTGATCTTGAGTATTGAGCGAAGACAACTGTTAATGAAGGTCTGTAGTTTGTTTGAGGTGCTCTTTATGACGCGCAGTGCAAGTCTCTGATCCATCCGTATAGTAGCACTGACTTCACTCACATTGGAGTTGAAAATCCGGATCTTATTTTTGATGCTGAGTGCTGTTGACCTCCACACATACTTGAGAGTAGTGAAAGCTTGTCTTGCTTTTCCGATTATTCCTTTGATATCCTCGTCAGTTCCGCCTGTAGTTGAAACGATGCTTCCCAGGTATGAAAAAGAGGTTGTTTCCTTCAGGCTCCTTCCATTTATGCTGATTGTTGTCTGTTGTTGTTGTTGTTGCTGTTGGTGGTGTTGCCCAGGAATCTTTATCAACTCTGTTTTCTCTATGTTCACCTGAAGGAAGTCCTATCTTTGATGCTTTTTCTGTCAACTTGTTGCTTTTCGCTTGCATATCTTCCAGTTTGTGGGAAATCAGACATATATCATCGGCGAAGTCCAGATAGACTTGTGGTATAGATACTCCGAATTCGCATTTGATTAAATCTTGGCTGAGATGAGTAAATAATGAAGAGTTTCAACACAGACGAGATAAACACACACCCTGGACTGAATTATTAACTATTTTTTGCACACATAAACAAGATATAATACAAAGTAATATTGGCATGCATCTGTAGAGTGAAGGTGAATAAATAAATAAATATTTCAACGATAAGTTACAATAAGAACCGCGTAGTGTTATTTCAGCTAATATTTAAAGCTGACAAAAAGAAACAAGAACTTACATGAGCTTTTGACAATAATTCGAGATACGGTTCACCGTAGGCTAATTTATGATACTTTACAAATTTCGGTAAATTTTCAACACTATCCAAAACATTACCATGTAGTTCAAAGTAATCGGATAAGATTTGTAAATAATTAGTTTTATCCTAAAATATTAATGGAATCAGAAAATAAATAAAAATGTACAGTTAAACAAAAAAAAGTTGTAGATAATAAACACAGAAAAACTTGAAAAAAACTTGAAGCGATTTATACGCGAACTTATACGTTTTGTTGAGAATAAAATAGGACAGATCTACTGACAGACTAACTCCTGAATTATATCACTTCTCTAGATAGTAGCGATATTTGTATTATATTTATTTAAACACAAAACAATTGGCACAATATGGCAGCAAGAAGATGCACTACACAATAATAATAAAACAAAATAGATTAAAAGTAAAAATATAGGTAGAGAACGGATAAATTACTTCATCTGGAAGGAAAACAGCCATATTTAACAAGTTCAAACAGCACTTGTTAATTATCGTCGGCAAAGGAAGAAAGAAGGAAATTGCAGCACGTCCGTCATTGATTAAGATTCTTTGCCATATCCGATAACGTTTCGAGCTATCTCTCGGACCCCAACCAGGGGGTCTTGACGCACGAACCAGTGATAATCTAACACAAATATCCTTCATCCCGCGACGCCACGTCCCAGAGTTAGCAAACAGAGACCTGTTCGGAAGCCTTTGGGATGACATTCACAGCACATGTCCAAGCCACCGGAGCCGGTGTTTCCAGATGACGACACTCAATAAATGGTGATCTCCACTGTGTTCAAACACACGCCGCCAAACCTCAGAATTACTCACGCGATGATGCCATCGAACGCAAGCAATCCTGCGGAGACAGCGATGATCGAACATGCAGAGTTGCCCCACATCCTCAAATAGGAGAGGCCAGATTTCACAGGCGTAGAGCAAGATAGCCCGCACCGAAGCATTGTATACCCGACCTTTGATAGCCAGGCTAACGTCGCGACGGCGCCAGAGGTGGCTGAAGCTGATGTATGCCACCCTAGCCTTCATGATAAGGTTGGAAATCTCATCCGTCACCCCCCCGCCAGCACTCACACAACTACCCAGATACACAAACTTATCAACAACTTCAAGTGGTTCACCCACCAGAGTGCAGGTACAGGCTCCTGCCAATCTTGTAACAGTACTTTGCATTTAGATGGTGCAAAGGACATACCATACTTACAGACACTGATTGCCAACTGATTAAGTACGATTTGGGCAGCCTGCATACTATCGCACAGTAAGACGATATCGTCTGCATACTCGAAGGCGAAAAGTCTGTTTCCACGGAGCAGATCTACGCCACCTTCAAGCACGTCCTTCAGAGCTGACTCCAGAATGTCATTGGTGGCAAGGTTAAAGAGAAATGGAGAGATTGGGCAACCCTCTTTAACCTCACTGTTGGTTGGGAACAGTGATGATAGTTGGTTGTATGCCCTAACTCTACCTGAGTTGTTTCTGTATAGAGCTTTCAGGATGTTCACAAACCTCTCAAATACACCCCTCTCTAACAGACAAGTTCAGAGAACAGTTCTGTCCAACAAATCGAAAGCAGACCTAATATCAAAAAACACGATTGTTAGCCTGCAATACGTGTGGTGGTGTTCTAACAACTGATGAAGGGTGAACACATGATCAGTGCATTCACGACCTGAACAAAACCCAACCTGTTCTTCGCGAGTCAATCCCTCACGTTTTTTACACAGCCTGCGAAGCAAGACTGCTGCCAATATTTTAGACGCGACTGGTAGCAGACTGATACCCCTATGATTGTCACATGTGTTACGTCGACATTTTTTAAAGATGGGGACGATAAGTGCTTCATTCCACATTGATGGTACATCCTCAGTCTGCCATACCTTCCTGAGTAAAACAGTTAAAGCCATGACGAGAGTGTCACTACCATCTTTAAAAAGAGCCGGGTGCCTTATGGCTTTTCAGTACTTGGAGTTCCTTCCGGACCTCCACTCCGATTGGTGGGTCTGTACTGGCCGGTCAAGGAGCACTGGAGCTTAGGGCCAGCCAAACTGTGCTCTGCCCAGTGTTCCAGGCGTCTTGGAAGGCTGGTAACTGGCATGTCATCTACCTCACAGACCGTTTAGTAAACCCCTTGTTTCTTGCTGCCGGTGGCTCCGATAAGCTGGAACAGCTTCCGACTGCTGCCAGATGCAGCAGCTGACTCCATCTCACACTCACGTTCTGACCACCAGGTTTCATGGCCCTTACGTAAACACTGTCTAATCTTGCGCGTAAGCGTCTTCTGCATATTGTTGTATTTGCTGCCAGCCGGGATGGACTGGCGTTCATCAAGGAGTTACAAGGAACTCGCAGAAACCCAGTGGTTTTTAGCGGAGCATTCTTTACGGTCGCAAGCGGCCATACTCGCCATTTGCATGGCACCTTACAGATGAAGTCAATTTTCATCTATACTATTTGGGGGGTTGCTAGCAAGCAGTGATTGTAACTCATTCTCATATTTCAAAGAAGTAGCAGGTGCTGCCAGTTTGCTCATATCAATGTTCAGATGACGCCGTTTATGACCTCCACCAAATCGCAAGACGACCCTGGCACGCACTAACTCATGATTGAAATCCAGGCATGTGCTCCAGAAGGAGCGGCATTCTTGTATGCATCCTCACCACCGGAAACTGACAGCAATATGATCAATCTTAGTGCAAACTTGATTCTCAGAGGGAGGGCACCAGGTGGCGCAACGGTGAATGCTGTACCAGAAGTTGGTGCTGGCTATAAATAGGTTGTGATCTGTGTAAAGCTGCAGAAGATGGTCCCCATTATCTGACTTGCGACCATGTTAACCCAACTGACCACCTCGACGATTCTTCTCTGAGCTTAGGCGCCTGATCTGTGCATCCAAGTACCCAGCCGGGAGCACTACGACATCCCTCCGACGTGCCTGTTTCAAGAGATCGCTCAGTTGGTAGTAGAACTCACCTTGATTGCATTCGTCGGTACATAGGCAAAGACAACAAATAGGCACCGCCTATCTGGACTACCACTCCTTACTTTCGTATAACCTTCCAGCCTCACAGCACAGCACATAAACGACTGTTAACCAGGATCCAGTCGAGTAATGCAGTTTCGGTTCTAGCGCTTAGTACGACACCGACACCAGCTACACCGGATGCCGACGCCGCAGAGTCTCCGGACAAGCGCAGGTGGTACATACTATCTGAACTTTCAGATGGAGAGTTTAATCAAAGCACTTCACTGGGATGTTGAATAAGGATCTCCAAAATGCAGCAGACATCGATAGCCAAGCTTCCTAATGTTCTTATCAAACCAGCCTATTGTCCGATTTGAATCAGTGCCCGAACATTGTCGGTTGGCAAGCTTGAACGCCGTACGCAGTTTCAGGATATCTGTTTTAGGTGTCGCACTGAGGAGGTCACTCACTAACATCTCGAGACGGCACAAATATACTGGGAATTCAAACAAAGGCGAAGGGCTGAAGAAAATGAAGACACCAAGGATAGCAAAGTAAAACATAAGAGCTTATGTATAAAAATAGGATTAACAAGAAATGCATCACTTGAAATATCATTAGTGTTCGACAGGATTGTAAAGAGCGTGCGATTAGGTTCACTGATAATTCGTTGTTTCATTTCGTTGATTGTGTGAGGGCTGACATACTGCCCGGGAGCCCAGACCGAAGCAGGTGGTTGCCGTAAGTGACCACCCCCAAGCCTTTGACTTGGAGTCTAATCCACAAGGCAGCAGACGAGCGTCAGAAGCTATGCTACCATGGTTGCCGGTGACCAATACAGGTTCATACGCCATTTGATCCTATTGGATTCTGGAGCCCATGTAACCCATAGTAACTGCTTTTAGTCTAACCGCTATCTAAACAACCTTCCTGACATGGTAGGACCTGCAGGAACATAAGTCTCAGTCAGTTTAGCTTGTTGGGTCACTGCGGTACTCACGCCCGACCACCACGACAAGGTACCATTTGTTGACCGGGCGCGATATTTGTAAAGACAAGAACATTCATTTCCTATTTTAACTATGCAATTGGCCTTAAAACCCCCTGAGTTTAATAATATCATCTCAAATTATTAACAAGTTAACTCTACACGAAAACAGGTACGATACTCGACAGATTGAAGCGGATACAGTTACTATTTAGCCATAGTCTTTTAACAATAGTCATAACTTTTAACTAAAAATCAACTTCAACGTAATTCTAACATAAAAGAAATTGATTCAATCTATTATTCCTTATTTTTGTAACAGAGTTCTTAAAAGTGCATTACTCACTGAAAACTATCAATAGAGAACGTGCTCTTAGAAAAGTGTGTCACCTATGCATCAACAAAAATCACAATCAATAAATTTTCAAGAGTTTGTGTCTGTAGAGATTTGATTTATTTCAAGCTTCATCATGAATTGATATCAGTGTTAACGAACTATTGAAAACCAGAGAGTACCGGACAGCTGTTTCGTCCCAGTTTCGAAATCATCCGCAGTAAACAAACAAACTCTTGAAAATTAATCTGATGCTCTCTGGTGAATGGCTGGTGGATGAATTTGTCTGGATTCCTGGTGAGAAGTCATGACCAGTGACTCTGGGAGACTGGGCTCTGGCTAACAGAATGCCTTTCAACCTAAAGAAGTGCAAAGTAGTGCAACTTCATTCCGGCAGGTCACAGAGTGTAAATTACACCCTTGGTGGCCAGAACTTGAGTTGTGTGCCATCAGAACGCGACCTAGGTCTTATTTTAACAGAAAAGCTAGACACCAGTGGAAATTACACCAGGGATGTCGCCAAAGCTTACGCAACTTTACACATTATGCATAGGCAGCTGGGAGCTCTTACTCCCGAACTATTCTTAAGGTTGTATACGACATACGTGAGGCCACTCCTTGAGGTGCATAATATCATTGCTCCTCCGCTACTCAAAAGGGATGCTAACATTCTAGAAAGTGTCCAGAAACGAGCGACAAAATGGGTGATCGGCCTCCGCAACAAATCATACGAGGAAAGACTGAAGGAATTAAGCCTTTTCACACTTAGCTACCGTAGTCACAGAGGAGACCTCATCGCCGTCTATAAGATCTTAAATGACCAGGCCCACCCTAATAAAACCATCCTGCCTTTAAGTGATTATAGGCTTCCATGAGGTAACCCGCTAAGGATAGCACACCAGAAACCAAAGACTCAAGTGCGTTCACATTTCTTTTCGCTTCGAGTTTGCCGTCTCTGGAACGCTTTACCGGCAGCCGTGACTACAGCGCCATCTATGGAGACTTTTAAGTGGAAGTTGGACAATCATGCAAAATTCAAGGTTTGTGTCTCAATGGCTTATCCTCTTAAAATATGAAACCACACTGTCAGTGGATAAGCATACAAGCTAAATCCCCACGGCCCGTTCTGTCTTCTCTCATTATACCGACTACTCTATCTTTTCCTTAGGTCACCTTTATTATTTCACTTATCTCAACCTATATTATCTACACTACAACCTATTATTATTATTATTACTATTCTGCTTTTATGACTACACCGAATGACCAACGGGAGTTAGGTCAAACTCCATTCACGGTAGCAACTCAGTCCTAAAATACTGCACACTACAAACCACATTTTGATCAATCCCCACACCACCCCTCTTGGAGTCTACCAGAGCTAAAGCAGTCGAGTGGCGAGACTTACTACGCATAAGTTCACCGAAGATCTGGAACCTCTACCTTACAATCAAGAAGTGAGCTCAAAGAAATCACTGGTTTATACTAGGTCGTAATCAGGATATTGGATATTGGGTCCACAAGGTTGGGTGTGAGGACAAATACTCACCAATAACACTGGGTGGTGTGCGTCGGTGGCACAGCGGTTAGGACGCTCGCCGACCATACACATGGTCCGGGGTTCGATCCCCGGCCACTGAACGCACTCCTTTACCTCGTTAAGCCAGAAATAAAGCTGGTAAAGAGGAGAAGTTGGGCACGTGGCTACCAACCCCGTCCTGTAAAATAAACACTGCTACAGAAACTTCAATCCACAAGATTGAAGCCCTATGTTCCACTGGGGAACGTGAAGGAAAAACAAAAACACTGGGTGGTGCCAGTCGTGCTAAATTCACGAATTCACAGAAGTTAGAATTCATGGACCATTAAAGTCAGGTCTCAGTGGATGAATGGTCTACGAGCTCGAATTGTAACCGGAAGATCCTAGGGTTCGAAACCCGGTGAGTGCGTACTGCCAAAGAATCCCAAACTGGGGTGGAACCCCTTTTCAGTACTCCCTGGCTTTGCAATGGTTCTCTAACTGATATGGATACATGATATAGAGAAAAAATTAACCATCCTCCTAACTAAATAGTTCTTCTGAAAAAAATAATAATAATGGATACAATTACACAAATGAAATCAAAATGTAATGATATCCGATTACTAAACACAAAATACACGCCTTATGCGAAACAAATAAATCATTGTGTGATTTCAAAATTAAATAGAGACTACAGATTAATGATCATAACATAAAATGATGACTGGCAGTATTTGATTAAGATGAAGCTTAAATAGAAACAACAACAACAAAAAAGAAGCCGTTTACAGACAGAATCGATTTACTTGGCACCATCACTAGTTAGTTATCAGCAAAAATATAGACTCATATATACATACATTGAATAAGAACTTACACTCCACATATAGTTTTCTTTTCCGTAGATTAGTGCAACAGGCTTAGATGCCGGGGATTTGGATTTCACTTTAAGCGGAAATATTTCCGAAATGAAGCCCATGAAAGAATTATCTGGTGTATGAGCTGAAGCATAAAGGGCACACAAGCACACACACATTACAGTTGAGAATTATGCGTACGATAAGTAAATATGATATGTAGATATACATACTGTGAGTGTTATGTGTAAAATATTGCTTTCTCACTAGTTTAATAAGAATAACTACGAACAAGGCTGAATATACATATCATATCAATTAACTAGCAAGAAGATGTCCAACAAAATCCTGACACAATTATTAGAAAAGTTAAGTTATTCAACTGATGAGTTCACTTAGCACACCTTAAAAGTCCTAACCACTATGCCACCGACGCACAACCTTGTCTTCCGAACATATTTATTTGGCTGTGCTGAAGAGCGTTTTTACTAGCCCTTGTTTGTAACTGGTTGGGTAAAAGCTGTGATAATTAAAGTATTGACCAGTCCAAGTTTCTTTCCTGTAGACAGATTTTTGAATCATCCCATCGTTTCTTCTTTTTATGTTGACATTTAGGAAATGGAACTGGTTGTTTCTTCCGTAGTCAATTGTAAATGTAATGCTGGGATGAGCCGCATTGAGTTTCTTAAACATTGCGGACGCGTGTTCTATATCATTGCGGACCACAAACGTGTCGTCAACATATCTGCAGTAATAGGTGGTTCTTTCTATTTCTTCTTTCATTCGAGTCTGTTCAAGATGAGCCATGAATATGTCAGCAAGAACAGGACCCAGAGGTGAACCCATAGCCACCCCGGCAATTTGTCGGTACAGCTGATTGTTGAATCGTAATTGAATATTCTTTGTACATAGAAGTAGCAATTCGCGTAGCTCATTTTCTGAAAGAGAAAGCAGTTCGGATTGCTGGCATATGATTTTTGCCGTTTCTTCGATGGGTATGCTGGTAAACAGTGAACAAATATCGTATGACACGAGAAGTCTATCTGAAATGTCGAGTTGATCTAATTCTTGTGAAAACTGGAAAGAATCTTTGATACTGTGAGCTGCCAGTTTTTTCCGAATGGGTTCCAGCTTTTGGCCCAGCCATTTGGCCAGTTTATGGCATGCTGATTTTACCATTGATATTATAGGTATCAATGGTACATCACTTTTGTGGACTTTGGGTTGACCGTACATGAATGGTACACGCGAACCCCTTGGTTTAAAGTCGTTGTAAGTGCTGTTGTCTATTAGCCCTTCCTTAAGGTGCTTGTTTAATTTATTTTCGAAGGCCGTTGTTGCTTCTTTTTTCGACATATCGACTTGGAATCTTATTGTATCATCGAGAATGGTTTTCATTTTAGAGATGTAGTCTCGGTGGTTCATTATTACGACACCTGAAGCTTTGTCTGGTTTGAGAATGACGAGGTTTTCATTTGTTTCGTAGGATTTTATTGCTGTTCTGTGTTCTTTAGTAAATAAATTTTGAGTGTGCTGGAGGAGAAATCTGATATTGTTCTGTAATATCGATCATTTTGGACTTAAATCAGACGCTTTTATCCTCGTCTATGGGCTTAAGGTCGGAAAGTTGACTGTATAAATACCCAAACTGCGTTTCCGTATCGATTCTGTTGATAAACGAGTTTGGTACGTGATACTTAAATCCTAAGGACAGAGCTTCAGTTTCAATTTTATTAAGTTTCACATCTGATAAATTGTATTTTTCTGGGCACTGTGGAAATTCTTCTTGTAGTTGTTCAACTACTAAAGATTTTCTGAGCTTCATTCCATATGAGTTCGCTGTTTGCGATTGTAAATCTTGCATGAAGTTAATGAACTTTATACGACACACCAAATTAAGGCTTTCCAGTAGACTGTCGAATTTCACTAGATTTGACCTTAAAGCGGTGATGTATCTCTGAGATGAGTCGATATGTGATGTGGCGCAGGTTCTTTAAAGTTGGAGGTAGTCTGGTCGATCTGATGAGTTTCGGGAATTGGCGTGGAAAACAGCCTATCTCTAGACACTCTTCGTAGAATTTGATCTTGCAGGCTTCTCTCGCTATTCTGCAACGTAAAGTTACTAATTGATTCAGTGACTTGATTGATTTCTTAGAGAGACGTTTCAAAAATGACGTCACATCATCATCATTACAAATATGTGATGACTATTACATTTATTCACCTGGTCCACATACTTGCCGAAAAGTGACTTTTAAACAAATGCACTTTAATTTGTCTACTATTCCGCTGTATATGTTGATGGTTAATAATATCCGAGTAATTTGGTTGAGAAACCTGTAGCACAAAATACTGAAACGTTCCGAAGAATCTTGTTTTTATTTCCTAAATACACCGGAATTACACTGAGTAATTTTATAATATTTTCTTGTTCTAAAATCTTCAAAATAGTTAATTTATATATATATATATATATCGTTGCATTGCATTATTATTCCTTTTGGTTCCGAGTGGAACATAAGGAGGCTTCAACAGTACATCTAAGTGTTCCCTGCAGTCTTTTACACCTGGAACCACAATTGCCCATAAGCTTTCATTTACTCCTCACACGATCTCCTCCCCCCTCCCACACTGTCATCCACAAACGTCCAACTCTTCGCTTACTAGTCGGGTTCCATTCGAGGACCTGCCAATGTGAAGTCACTCAGCGGTCTCCTCAGAGTATGTCCAACCTATTTCTATTTGACTGTGTAAATTTGTTGGGCAATAGGTTCTTTGTTGATCCACTGCATGCTATGGTTTCATATCGCGTATGCTTTCTGGCTATCTGATCCTCAGTATCAAGAGAGAACATGGGTTGAAGCAAGAAAGTCTGAAGTCTGTTGGAAACGCTTTAGGTGACGCGAAAGCCAAGTCTATGTAGCATATGCGACAGCCTAAACTTGACATTAGTCTTGAAATTTCGGATCTTGTGTCTTATGCTGAGAGTACAGTAGATTTCCACACTGATTTCGGAGTAATGAGGGTTTTTTCTTAAATTGGTTGATGGTGACTAGCAGTGGAATCCAGGATGCAAATTTCGTCCTATTTGGGACTCGTCATCTGGATGCACCTGCATTCCTCAGTGAGTGATGATGTTCCACCGAGGCTCGGACCGAGTGCCCGTAGTTTCAAACGCCGAAGCGTTATCCACTAGGCCACAAGAACTACCTCTTGTGCAACGGGTCATATTAATTATTGAATTGAATTTTAGATTTTCGCGTCAATTGATTGGACCAAATTGCTCGGTCTCAGGTTGACATGTCGGCTTCTTGTGCAGATGTTTCGATGATGTTTGGGCATGTAATTAGAATTTAATTTGTGGATAGGACGAAATGCACATCGTGGATTCCACTGCTAGTCACCGTCCACCACCAATTAAATTCTAATTACATGCCCAGACATCGTCGAAGCATCTGCACAAGAAACCGACATGTCAGTCTGAGACCGAGCACTTTGGTCCAATCAGTCGATGGGAAAATCTAAAATTCAATTAAATAAGTAATGAAGTTTGGTCTTGCATTACCGACCCTGCCCAGTTTTGCAATCCTCATCCATACCACCAGTGATTGGAACGATGACACATAGCTAAGACAAAGATGTGGCTTCGGTTGGATTTTTCCAATTGATGGTAATTGGTTCTTGTTGTTGTTGTTATTGGATAGGTATTTTTATCACTTGTGTCTTCTCTACGTTCACCTGAGGGCCAGTCTTCACTGTCTCTTCCGCCAACTAGTTAGTTTCCATATATATATATATATGAAGTGCATGCATAATCATTTGATGTACATCTGGTTTGTGAGGTTAAGCCAATGGATAATGTGACCCTAAAAATAAAACGTATTAACTTCATTTTAAAAAAATACTAATTCACACTATTTCGATAGCTTATCTACTTTTCTACTGTTTCATCTTCGTGATGAAACGATCGCGAATATCATAAACTGATTGGTTGAAAGAAAGACGTGAAAAAGGATTTATAACTTACGAAAAAACGTGTAAAATTGTTGTAAGTTTAAATGTAATCCACCCCACGTTTCTGATTGACGATTGTGCAATGCTTCTGTTCCAAAAGTATCCAGTATACGAAATTTACATAACGGTATACTTGAATAAAGAGGGGAAAATAGAACATCTAATAAGGAATTCATGATATCTATGATGATGATGATGACAATCGTAAATACTATAGCTATGAGATCGCTTTTCTTTTAGTCAAGCAATATTAGCTGATATCGATCGGATTAGGTTAGAAGAGTTAGAGGTGAACCAAAAAAAATCATGCCCAACCTCCCCTCTTTACCAGTCTTATTTCTGGCTTAGCGAGGTAAAGGAGTGCATCGACCGGGGATCGAATCCTGGACCATTTGCATGGATCGGAGAGCGTCCTAACCGCTGTGCCACCAACCCACAAAAACTTGGAAGTACTGGACAGCTGTTTCGTCGTAGCTCCTTGGCACTCTTCATTAGTACGCACCCGCCGGGGTTCGAACCGAGGGCCTTCTGGTTACAAGGCGAGCTCGTAGACGTTTAAGCCACTGGGACAAAGGAGTGTGTCGGCCAGGGATCGAACCCCGGACCATGTGCATGGTCGGCGAGCACTCTACCGCTGTGCCACCGACGCAATCGCCTAGATCCATTAAATTCTCATGTTTCCCCCGGTGTAATTATTCTTTTCGTTTGAATTTTTCCTCCACGTTGTGTTATATGGAATATGGTAACTTGAACACAGCTACAATTTCGTGCAAACCTCTATGTTGAGAAATTAATCATAGCTACTAGCATAGAACATTTCATAAATTTACTACTAGTAACATAGTTATGAGTACTTAACTGAAGTGAAAAAACTATACCTATTTGCATGAAAGTCAACTGACTAAAACAATGCTCAACATTCCAATAGTATTTAGTTGCTGTTGAATTGATGAGTTATTTCACGTGGCTAAAAGTGATTACGGTAGTGATACTCTCAGAAAAACAAAACGAAAATGAAACGTAAAAACAGTATTGTTGTATGAACTGAAATCAATGCTATAGCATAGAAATACACGGGATCATGCCTTATAGGACATACTGAGGTTCACGGGCCCATACATTTTCGCTGACATCAGATGGTTGGAGGCAATCAGCAGGAGGTCTTGAACCTAGGTTTTGTGCTTGCTAGTGGTACTCGTTAGCAAGGCGTCTCTGCAGCCTTGAGGGAACTTATGTTTTCTCCTTAGATTCGAACCCATGTTACCGGTGCTGCAGTCACAGACGTTATCACTGAGCTATTCGGACTCGCGATTGACCTCCTTCCTGTAGGATTGTACTGGATACTTCTGATTGGACACTAGTTAATTACAAGAGATGAGTCACAAAGCCATACATGAACATTTACGCAGCTATAGAATTTTCACTCATGTACAGTTTCCTTTATTTAAAAAAAAAATTCCCTTGAGTTCCGAATGGGTTTCAAGCTGAGGAGCGATGATATGACTTTTTAACAGGGTACTTTTGCCAGCCTCATGCCCAACCTCTCTCCTTTTAACCGGGCTAGGCAAGGTTTAGGAGCACGTCAGTCAGGGATCGAACCCGGAACTCGTGCATGATATAGGCAAGCATTCTACCACCACTGAACCACTGAAGTTATAAGGTGATCCAACTGAGATCAAAACTCAAAGGAAAAGAGTGATAGGAAAGCAAAATAGATAGAAAGAAACACAGTCTTACCGAATCTCCTTTGATGCTAATTTTTTAAACCCTGAAATATCTGTATAAACCAGATCGTATTTATTGCTATACACCTGACAAGGTATTGTATCAGTATATGGATACAGGAGATGTCTAAAATTGATATTTTGAAGACAAAAAAAGAAGAACAATACGATAATAAAATCAAAATAATAGATTATTAGTTTCAATCAGTGTGCTATTATTCACAGAAAATCATGCTAAGAACAGGGATAATTCTAAATGATGAATTGTTTTTCACAAAAGCTTTTCAAAGTTTATCTAACTTTATTCAGAATTAATTATCAAGTACATGAAAAGACAGAACATACACCTTTAAAGGCCTATATTAAATTGATGAGCCATTTATTTTAAATAATTTTATTTTGAAAACCATACACAGTAAGTCATCTGTTGTAGCTGGGTACACGTAGCTTAAAGTAATAGGACTGCAAAACAAAGGATATTACTAACCATGTAGGAAACAGGCGGTAGAGATCACAAGAGTTGTATATCAGGTAATAATATTATCTAAATATACTCAACTATTGGTGGGTGTTTAGACTATGATTTGCCGGTTGAAAGTCAAGTATGTGAAACCTTTAAGTGTTGTATGAATACGCCTTGAATGGTGCATGAAGAATTGAGAAACTTCAAGGCTTTAAGGTGTTATCACAACTAGTATAGAAAATACCGGTGAATACTAAGACCCCAGTTAGGAATAATGTCGAAAATGTTCCTTTCGTTTGAATTTTTCATCTGTAAATTGACGTGAGGAGGGAAAAGATGTACATATGTTGGACTCACAAAACCCCCTAGAACGTTTGGATTTCGCGGAGGATCTATGGCCCACATCACACAAACTCAGAGACATACAAGTCCAATCAATCGACGGGAAAATCTAAAATTCAATTAAATAATTAATATGACCCGTTGCACAAGAGGTGGGGTGGCTCTCGTGGCCCAAGTGGTCTAGTGGATAACGCTTTGGCGTTTGAAACTATGGACAGTGGGTTCGAGCCACGGTGGGAACATCATCACTTGCTGCAGAATACAGGTGCATCCAGGTGACGAGTCTCGAGTAGGACGAAATGCGCATCCTGAATTCCACTGCTTGTCACCATCCACCAATTAACTTCTAATAACTAAATAAAGATCAGGGTAGCCAGGAGAGATGGTTGATAAACTTCTGGACAATTATTAAATCTTATTTCAAATTGAAGGATTAGCTGGGAATGTTGTCTGCAGAGACAACAACAGCTTGACAACTCAACCATCCAGCTCAGGGAACATAACAACATCAATAGAAAACCAACAAAACGATAGGAGAGACAGTAAAGATTGGATTGATTTAGACAGCATGATTTCAACTACAGGCAACACGGTTGAGGATATCAAAGCCATACAGGATCGTAGAAGCAAGACAGAAGAAGGAACATGATCCAATTGTTTAAAATGCTAATGTCAGGTCATTGCTTGTGTATGATTCAGAGATTTGGTACGTGCAGCACCGAAAGCATTTCCAGCTGCTTATGGCAGACTTTCATCAACACATACTTTCGCTCGAGATTGAAGATTAGATGACCAACCGAAGAGGATATGTAGGAAATTTCAATTGTCGAAGTACTGAGTTATGTTCTGACTGAATAAATAGGGTGTTCACTTGAAGCAATAAACAAACAATGCCACCACTACACTTTGAAATAATGAGTTTAACGTGATGAAACAATAAATTTTAGAATTTAAAATATAAATAAATGAATATAAAAATAACTTAAGTGTTCATTAAAAAATAAAGCATCATGAAAAATGGATTAGTCTCTGAGGCAGCCGACAACTCTCTTAAACCTCCTGGAAGTTGTGCATCACGACTGCATGGCTCGCCCAAAGTACATAAACCAGAACTTCCTCTTCTGCCGGATCTAGACATGTTTGAATCCACCTAACATGGATTGAAAAAGTGGTTAGGTGGATCCTTGCAAACATTACAAATCATAGTATTGAAGACGTCTTCGAATTCATTTCTAATTTACATTATACAAATGTAAATGGGAAGTAAATGCTATCCTCAGATGTTAACATCACTGTTCACCAATGGATAGCTTATGGAGATTGAAATTCATAAGCCAACAGACACTAGAAAAGCGGATCGATGTCAGAGTACCAGTTATTAGATTCGAAGAGTTACTTCTAAAATGCATTATGAATGTAGACTTCACATTCAACAACGTCTGTAACAAACGAATTGAGGTGTTGCTATGACTACCCCATTAGGTCCAAAGGTCCATTGAAACAACTAATAGATAAAATTGTTTCTTAATATCATTGTATTCACGATACATTTATTGTGCTTGATTCAAAAGCAGACAAGGACGAAATGCTTATGAAATTTAATGATGTACAACCATCATTCATTTTCACTAGTTAAGAAGAATATGATGGTAAATTGGACTTCCTTGACATTCAATTGAACAGAAGAGAACATGATTCACTTAAGACACATGTGTCTATGGAAAAATTACACATGTAGGGCAATATACACATCTCTTCAGTTTCGTACCCATCCGATGGAAAATCAATTTTGTTAGACACCTCATAAATATGGTAAGTACGATCTGTACCAATAATTCCTCAGAAAGTAAATTAGAATGCATCCACAATGCAATGGTCCTAGTAGATTTGTATGGAGACACAAAAGCAATGTGTGCAATAAAGAGAAAGCGATCACGGTTAGGAAAGAAGAGTTGTTCCTGAAGTTTCGATACCATGGAGAAGTGGCTAGTTAAGTTCTACATCTAAAATTATCTAGAACCATGAAGCTGACTTGTATTGATGTCATCCTTAGATTATCATTTTCCAGCCGACCAATTATGGATGCTCAGTTGGAAAATAAGATACCAACCTACCTAGCCGTACGACTTCTATGTGCATTTAAAAATTTAGCCGCTCCTGCGGAGAAAGCTATGTAGGACAAACAAATAGACAGCTTAACGAATGCATAACTGAACATCTTCCTTCATTCTATTTTGTCTCATTTGAATGATAGTCGTCCCCACGTGGATAGAAAAAGTGCGTTCAAGGTTATTTATCTCATTCCATCGAACCTTTCATTCGAAAGAACAATCATAGTCTTTGTATACAAAAGAAATTTATTCTTCCGTTGCCACACTTTTAGCCTAGGGTAAATCTAATGAACCAATGTTAGCTCCCCACACTTTCTCATTCTCAACCTCATACGTACTTTTATGACATTTATTTAAACTCCTATTTTAAAACGCCAGTAATCCAGCACAAGTATTTCCAGTAGGTGCTAGAGAACTCTGAATAAATGGAAGTAAGAAGGAGAGAAAGCGAAGCAATAAAAATGATAAGTAACAGTAAGGTAGTACAGGATCAGAACAGTGTAAAGGCAACTGGATACAGATGCTGACAGAGCACCGCTAAACCCATATGTAATCTACTTGACAAATTGGTAAGAAGTGTACTGCAAATATTTTCATTCTGTTTACTAAAAGAAGATTCAGAAACTTCAGTGTCGTTTTTCAATCTTATAAAAATTTACCACTTTTTGAAATAATGCACAATGCACTTTTGCTAAAAAATAATCCTACCGTTTCGCTTTTTCAACTTCAAAAGTGATTGTTATATTGTGTCCTAGAATGTAAAGGCCAGTGATTAGATCAGTCCACTGAACAAGTTCACCAAGAGGACCACCTAAAAATGTTGACAAAACCAAATTTATTTTAGAAATATGCAGATATACGATGAAAAAGAAGATTGAAAAACAATGAGAACAAAATTAAATTAAGCAAAGGAAAATAGCTTACAAGAATCAAACGTAAAGAGCATTACAAATAGAAGACAAACTAAACAACAGATTAGAAAGGTGTCTAACAAATTTATCTAACACGTGGAACTTGTATTACCAATGGTAACCAAAAATGTGGATCGATTATTTATTGTGAACAATAATAATTATTGACTGAATTATTATTAGTCTGAGAAATAAGGTCAATACACAGATATGATTGAAGTTTACAGCTGAAGTCCGGGATGGCAGCAGGGACAGACAGAATTTCCCCCGAAGCACTGAAAACGAACCCAGAGACTGAGGCAGATGTGCTCACGCCATTATTGCAAAAGGTCTGGAAGGAAGGGAAGGTACCTACCGATTGGAAGGAAGGTTACCTTGTCAAGCTACCAAAGAAGGGTAACTTACGTCTCACTCTGCAAGAACTGGTGTGGAATTATGCTCTTCTCCACGCCAAGTAAAATACTAAGTCTCATCATCATCCTGGAGGGAATTAAAGATGCACTAGATACAGAACTCCGCCACACACTGGAACAAGCTGGATTCAGGAAAGACAAGTCATCTGCTGATCAAATTGCAACTCTACGTGTCGTCATCACAGAACAAAGCGTAGAATGGCAGTCAAACCTCACTCCACCTCAACTTCATCGACTTCGAAGAGGCTTTCGACAGCGTTGACCAGAAGTAATTTGGAAACTACTTCAATAGTGCGGCGTGCCTCAAGTCTTTATCAACCTCATTCAGCAGCTATATGACAGTGACACGTGTCAGGTGATCCACAACGGAAAACTCAGTGAGGCGTTCGAAGTGAATACAGGAGCAAGACAAGGCTGCCTGCCTACCATCACCGATAATATTCTTAATTAAGGTGAACTGGATTATACGTCAGATTGCGCATTGGGAGCGAAGAGACAGGAATACACCAGATGACCGATAAGAAGGCTGTAGAAGATCTGGATTTCACACGTGGATGATTTATGTTTAATGTCACACAAACTAGAAGACTTGCAGGCGGAAAGGCTGAAGAGGCAACGAAGACAAGACTCCAGGTGAATATAGAGAAGACGGAGGTGATGAAGATAACCAACCAACAGCAATAACAACCAGCACCAATCACCATCAAAGGGAGAGATTTAACAGAGGTTACCTCCATTTATCTAAGAAGCATCGTTTCAATTACAGGCAGCGGAATGGATGAAGATGTCAGGGCCAGCCAGAATTGGAAAGGTAACCTGAAACCAGTTTGGAAATATTCTACACTCAGCATAAGGAACAAGATTCGAATTTTCAACACAAATGTAAAGTCACTTCTTCTATATGGGTCAAAAACATGGCGCATCACGGAAAGCATTTCCAACAGCCTGTTGCAGACTATTATCAACAGCTGCCACCTTTGCTGGCTCTACATTGAAGATCAAATGGCCAGCCGGAAAGAATTAGATACAAGAAACTCTGGCAAAAAACCAACCAAGAGACAACTGCTCAACAAATATATGGGAGAAAATGGAGGTGGATCGGGCATAGGTTGAGGAGGCCGTCAAATAACATCGCGCTCCAGTGGAATCCCAATGGGTAACGACAGGTGGGCCGTCGGTGAGAGGGTGACATGGGGAGATCGTACGAGGAGGAGATGAGAGATTATGGGCAGTCGTGGACCCAGATGAAGAGGACAACACCAAACAGAACAAAGTGGAGATGTGTTGTTGAAGCCCTCCCTATGTTCCACTCGGAACCCACAGGAACAATAATAATATAATATTTGAACAAAGAAAGAAGAAACATTGGCGCAGAATAATCTGGATCCATTTTATTTCGTTGGTTCTCATCAGCTGCGTACAACCTGAATTTTTTTGTCCATTAGCAAGCATATTGTCAGAGCGTTATAGTAAAATAAAACGTTGCGATTTACAGGGTGTCTAAAGTGTTACGACATATATATATATATCTTGTTAGAGAGAAGTTTCTTGAAAAAAATTAATTAACAGTTGTGTTGTTGGGGTGGTAACAAAAGAAAATTAGTAATAGTTACGTAATTAGATAAGAGATGATCAAAATTTTAAAATTTCGGTGCACATGAGGTCAGATGAGAAGCTGATGATGTAATACAGTGAGCAGAACTCAGAAGATCAAGATCGCTTGACTCTCTTAAGAGATAATTTTTATTGATCTTCTGAGTTCTGCTCACTGTATTACATCATCAGCTTCTCATCTGACCTCATGTGCACCGAAATTTTAAAATTTTGATCATCTCTTATCTAATTACGTAACTATTACTAATTTTCTTTTGTTACCACCCCAACAACACAACTGTTAATTAATTTTTTTCAAGAAACTTCTCTCTAACAAGATATATATATATATGTGGTAACGCTTTAGACACCCTGTAAATCGCAACGTTTTATTTTACTATAACGCTCTGACAATATGCTTGCTAATGGACAAAGGTTTGTTAAAATTGTACACTTTTTATTTTTATTTTATTAAAAAAAATTCAGGTTGTACGTAGCTGATGAGAACCAACGAAATAAAATGGATCCAGATTATTCAGCGCCAATGTTTCTTCTTTGTTCAAATTTATAAAAGGGAATCACTGTATGAAATAATGTAATAATAATTATAGGCGATGCAGTTGAGGGCAAAATTCATACCAGTTAATGAACTTTAACGATAACATGTCCATTAAACAGATAAGCCCAATTTTTATTTTCATCAATGAATGAATCATCCTTCAGTCTGGAATAAATAACAATGTACTACTTTTATGATTTCTTACATTAATTTCTAGAATATTAAGCTGCCTCATTATGAAAGGACTAGGAAGAAATGTCTGGATGTAGAACACTTCACTTGGGTAGACTGGATTATGGGAAAACAAGTCATATATTGAGCAAATTGCGATACTAGGCGTTATCGTCATCATCACCGAGATAATACATTGCACTGATTAAGGCACTCTACTCGTACTCATGCAGCCAGGTGAGGGCTTATGGCGAGTTGTCATCTGAAGTGGTGACGACTAGTGGCGTCCGTCAAGGATGCCCATTATCCCCATTTCTATTCAACTTCATCATAGATGTACTAATGGACTTAACCCTAACTCACTTCAGAGACTCAGGGATTGACTTGCTACCAGGGAATAATCTCGTCGACTTAGAATATGCGGACGATATAGTCCTTCTAGGTGAGGACGCTGACAAAATGCAGAGTCTTCTGAACACCCTGAGCTGCAATCTACGAATGTTTGCCATGCGATTCGCTCCGGCCAAATGCAAGATGGTGTTACAGGATTGGACTACACCGACCCCTAGATTATAAATAGGAAGTGAAGTGGTAGAGCACGTTGACCGCTTCACTTACTTGGGAAGTAACATCAGCCCCAACGGGTTGATCTCTGACGAAATCTCAGTACGGATACAGAGGGCTAGTTTCGCATATGCCAGTTTACGCCGTCTCTGGCGTAGACGTGATATCCGGCTATCGACCAAAGGACATGTGTACTGCTCAGCAGTTCACTCCATCCTCCTTTATGGCTGTGAGACCTGGCCATTGAGAGTGGAAGACATGAAAAGACTAGCTGTCTTTGATCATAGATGTCTGCGTTCTATCTCCCGTGTGAAATGGTATAATAGGGTGAGCAATATTGAGGTTAGGCGTCGAGTGCTAGGTAAAGAGGGGAAATCAATAGACGAGGTTGTGAAGCTACATAGACTGAGATGGTTAGGACATGTGTTACGTATGCCTAGTCATCGCCTTCCTCGACAATGGGCAGTGTTAGCTGACATAGGGTCAGGCTGGAAAAGAGCTAGTGGCGGTCAAACTAAAACATGGCACCAGTCAATGAAATCCACAACAGTTAGTTTGAGCCATGTAGGAAGATGTAGACTTCCTGGTTGGGGTCCTCGGGACGGTAGAAACCAATGAAGGCTGGAAACAATTGGTGATCTGGCTCAAATTCGTTCTCAATGGTACAGATGCATCCACTCCTTGTGACTTATGATTTCAAATGAATCTATATTGTTCTTCGTTATTACTATTCTTTTGTCTCACACCTCTGTTTACTGTCTCTATTATGCATTTCTCCTACTTTCTTCTCTTGCTTTGTGTGCTACATGGAGTGTGGCGACTTGAACTGCCTCACATCGGTGCAAAGTTCTATGTCGAAAACAGACAGACAGACAGATGAATAATAATAATAAATTACCTGAAGTAATATGCGATTCAAAAGAATCCTTTCCCTTTGATAAAAATCCCATGTAAATTAGAACCTAAAAGGAAACAAATTTAAGTGGACAATGATGAACAAATAGTGCTATTTGTGAAAAAAATATATAAACAAATTAATCATGAAAAGATGTGCAATTATGCTACTTAAAACGTATGACACGTTTACTACAACTAAGATTTATGTTAGAGAGTTAGTATTACTATGTAGTAGACATAACGACATTCGAAAATGACTCTCAATCGACCAGGACGTATAGATCAATGAATCAAAAAGCCTTCTTGAAAAAAATGTTACTATTAGTAATTTATCGCAATGCATTCTATTTTTACAATAATTATACTCAAACGACGCAGATTCAAGTTGAAACCGAAAACTATCGAACAGAAGGGAACAAGATATGAGTAACTCAATCAATAGCCTAAAATCGAATGATTCCATTTCTTGCGTAATAATTTCAAAGGATTTATTATTTCCCTGAGTATCCAGTGGAACTTACGGCTTCATCAGCAGCAGCTAGCTAGCTCACATGGCCCCACTATCATTGACGTCATAGAGGTTGAAATTACGTCTAATGTCAAGTACCTTGAACTGAGTATTTCCTCCGATCTTTCCTGGCCCTCTCACATCTTGCTAGTTACTAGAAAGATGTTTCGCTTAACGTTCTACGTTAGGAAGTTAAGGCAGTCTTCGCTTTCTCAGTTTGTCAATTCTTGTATTTTAACCATCCCTCTTTACTGCTCCCCATTAATCTTTCCTGGACTACTTAAGAAAGACTTTGCTTTACTGAGAATGGCACTAAAAGCTGTTAGTAGGGCAAGTGGGATATCGTTAAACCAACTGGTTAATACTATTTTGGATAGACATATAATGTCATGTAAGAAACTAGCGAATACTATATTAGCAGACCCCGAGCATCCTCTCTATACGCAGCTCTCTGTTTGCATTTCATCTGGTAGAACTAGAAGCAGTTATAGGAGGCTATATGCTAGGACCACCAAGTACAAAAACTCCACAATACCTTATCTGGCACAGCTGTTATGTGATGAGAAATCCGTTAGGTATGACACGATCAACTTACACTCTAACAATTAGTCCCATTAGTTTTTGTTTTCCTTTCTTCGTTACTATTATATTGTTGTTCACATCTTCTATTACACGCTAATTTTATATTTCATATCCTGTGGTGCATTGTTTAAAAATGTAAACGCAACGCTGTTCTTTTTTATTATTTTTTTGGTTGTTGCTTTTTGATTTTAAAATCTTATAAAATTTATGAGGTAATTAGATGCAATATTGTAATGCACGCTGAAAATTCCATACCTGTACGACAAATACTGTTTGGAATAAAGCTGTTATTATTATTTTCTCCACTACACTCTTTTCTCTGCAATCTTTTCAAGCTGGCTCCATTATTGCCTATAAACTTTCATTTACTCCTGATGTGGTGGTGTGATACAGACAGTGTGTTCCACATGGAATATTATTCTCACAGTTCAATACTGCGTTAGTAACAGAATACGATGTATCTATTTGAACATTCTATTTCATGTCGTTTAATGTCAGCCAAAATCGCAGGCTCAGTGACTGGTTAGAGAATATAAAACTGTATATATATAAATAGCGGTTTGATCACTTGAAAATATACCTTGGCTTCCATGTCTTGCCTTCTGCTGTTACACTCATACGCTCTCCACTGTATCACTCTCGGATGACTAGCTGGACGTTTCCAATTCAAGTCCCACTCGACGACCTACCTGGCGTGTGATCTCACTCAACGGTCTCCTAAGTGTATATTCAATCCATCTCTGTTTCCTTCTGCTATTTCGCTCATTTGATGCCGAGCCTATATCAGTGGTGTACGCGGTTTGACTTAACTCAGAGAGCTGAATCAGTTCAAATCATCTCAATCGATCAGTAGTATATAGTGTTATGCAAATATGCTCCCCTTCTTGATTACTACTCATGGTGTCTAGCAGATCATGTACTATATATTATTATTGTTCCCTTGGGTTCCTAGTGGAACATAGGGCTTCAACTACACGTCTCAACTTGCTTCTGTCTTCTGCTGTACTTTTCACCTGCATCCATGTTATTCCATACTGCTTCAACCCCTCTTCACACGATCTCCTCCATGTCACTCTTGGACGTCACACTCGCCGCTTCCCTTTCGGGTTCCACTCGAGGGCGTGACGCGCGATGTCACCCAGTGGCCTCCTCAGCGAGTGTCCAATCCATCTCCACTTTCTCCTGCATATTTGTTGAGCGATTGGTTCTTGTTTTGTTCGTGTTCCCATAGTTTCTTGTTGGTGATTCTTTCCGGCCATCTGATCTTCAGTAGTATTGAGCGAAGACAGTTGTTGATAAAGGTCTGCAACAGGCTGTTGGAAATATTCTTGGTGACCCGCCAACTTTCTGATCCGTATAGAAGAACTGGCTGACTTGACGTTTGTATTGAAAATCCGAATTTTGTTGTTGATGCTGAGTGACGAAGATTTCCAGATTGGTTTCAGGTTGATGAATGTGTTTCTCGCCTTCCCGATTCTCAACTTGACATCCTCGTCCGTTTTTCCTGTAGTTGAGACAATGCTGCCTAGATAAATGAAAGAAGTAACCTCTTTCAAATCCCTCCCGTTGATGGTGATTGGCGCTGGATGAGATCATGTACGATGATTTGCATAATTTGTTTTCCAAAGAAAACTGTGGTGAGATTTCACCTCCTTGAACTGTGTAAATTGCATATTGAGAATTAATTTGCCAAAAATTATGAGTTTGACTCATCTGATTTTCAGTATGGAGCGAAGACAACTGTCGACAAAAGTCTGAAGCCTGCTGGAAATGCTTTTCATGGTGTACCAAGTGCATGAAACACAGAGAAACACTGATTTGACATTAGTGTTAAGAATTCGGTTGTTGTTGTCACTTGTGTCACGTGACAGAAAGCCTGTCTTGCTTTTCCAATACCGAATAGTTTTGATATTGTTTATTCGTTGTGCGTGTAGGTGAAGCGATGCTGCCTAGGTAAGGTTAGTGAAAGGGCTGACTTCCTTTAGATTTCTTCTGTTGATAATGATTGGTGTTTGCTTTTGATGCTTGGGTATATCTTCATTCCCTCAGTCTTCCCTTTCTCTTCTGTCGACTTGTTTGTTTCCTATCTGTAGATATATTCAAGTTTGTGCGATATTAGACATTAATCATCTGAGAAGTTCAGATATTCTAGGGCTTGTTTGCCTCTGTCTCTCACATGTGCCCATCTTCCCGTTTCTCACAGTCCGTTGCATGATCCAATCCACCAGAAACACGAATACCACCTCAAATACTTCTCTGAGTTTTCCGTTTCAGGCACTTCGTAGTGTTGAAGTAGCCGGCTAAATCACTTCTACAGCCCTGACATCTAAAAAAAATTCTGTAAACTTGACAGACTCGTACAAATCACAAGAATTCCGTACTTCATCGATTTATTACGCTAATAAATAAATAAATTTACTTCTACCCATACACAAAATAACTAACATAGAGAATTTAACACAATAACAAAGAACAAATTTTACAGCAAGCAGTATAAAGCTAATTATACTAATTAAAGTTCATTGGAATGCTTAACCACCCACTACTGTGTGTCAGATCTATACACGGGAGGCACTATGACGCCATGCATAGATAGACAGGAATATCCAGACACTAAAAACATTCATTTGAAAATAAATTAAAAATTACAGAGTGGATTGACCTTCAAAATCTTATGAAAATCTACTTTATTTCGACTTCCGAATTCTTTCTTTTAACTACACCATGCTACATACACTCTACTGAGCGACTGGTATGCGTAGTAGTTGGATACCAACAGTGCTAGCTAACCAGATCAAATTGATCTAAACGCCGGACGGTCGCCTCGTTCGCTTGGGGCCAAGCTGAACAACTCTTTATGCCCGTGTTTGACTCAGATAAGAGAGCTAAATCAGCTCAAACCAACCAAATTCTAGCTAGCTACTTTGGCGAACTGAACTGGTAATACATCCAAGCCAATATCCACGCGATCTGCAAAAACATAAGTTAAGAGATTACACCTATGAGTGAGTATAGCACTTAGTCCAGTTGACTTACATTCAATTTTGACCTTCCATATAAAATTGGTTGACCTGTGAAACTCCTTGACTGACACAAACTGATACAAGATATATTACCAGATAAACAACGTTCACGGCATTGATCTATGGAAAGTGACTGTGATTCGATACCATTTAGATAATATTGAATTCCTGTTAGCCAATCAGACCACATACGTTTTATTCTTGACTGAATAAACATCACAGACTCTGAATGACTTTCGTCTGACGGCAACAAAGCAAGCAATCCTTGAAGATCTTGAGTTATCTGAGAATAAAGAAAAAGAATTCTCGATTAAAAATTAAGACAGAAAAAAACCTCTAGAATGAAATGTGATGATAAGTGTGAAATTCTTAGGTCAATTTGGCCTAATAAATTTCTTTTCAAGATTGGGCATTGACGTATTTATCAGTTTACCTATCTTTGGACATAAGTTGGTAAAATCTCTAAGGAACAGAAACGTAAAGTAAAGGTGTAGTTAAAACCATTAACAGTTTTACAATTAATAGTGTTCTCTGAGCTGGTTGGTTTAGTTGCGGAGCTTTCGTCGTCCTTCTCGACAACATCTTCAGCGCAATATTTAGCATAAAGTGAAGTGATTTAAATTTCTTCATGAGTGATATAATTGCGTCTCCTTGTAACCATCTTTACATATGTATTGACCATTTTCTATTGACTTCGATTTTAAACTTTCTGGTCACAAGTTTACTTTTTATTAGTTGATATATTTCGTCTATATTAACGTGTTTGTTAATTGCATTTTCGTTTGAGTACCAGGCTTCTAGGAATTCTCTGGCACTTTTGGTGTTTCCTCTGTCTAAGATTTCGACATTATCCCAATCAAATTGATGACCATAATTGTCTATATGCATTGATACTAAAGAATACATATCGTGTCTTTTCACGGCTGATTTGTGTTCTTGGATTCTAATTCGAAGGGGACGTCCACTTTGGCCGATGTAATGCTTGTTGCAGTTCATACAATTTATTTTGTAAATGGTATTTATTTTATCCCCTTTTTCTGTTGGATCTTTCGGTTTGCATAATACTGAATTAAGCGATTTGACTGGCTTGTGTGCTATATCTATATCAAACGGTTTCAGTATTCTACCTGTTATTTCAGAGATATTTCTCATGTATGGTAGGATGAATTTTCTTGTGGTCTTTGATGATGGTTCTTTGTTAGTGTTTTGATTCGACTTTAAACACTTTTTGATGAAATTTTGTGGATAACCATTCTTTTCGAAGACCGTTTGTAGGTACTTTTCTTCCATTCTTTTCAACTCTAGAGTGCTACAATGTGTTTGAACTCTTTTAAACAATGTCTGCACACAGTTTCGTTTGTGAGTAATTCGACCATTAACAATTCGATACTAGATCATCTGGTGCAAACCGGCCACAAAGCCAGCCAGCGTTGAAGAATCCTTCTCTATAATGTACCGGGTGCCTAATAAATTGCCAAAATCATCGAAGCACCACATGCTCCAAACAGCAGAGGCTATTGCAATTCGCCTCAAACAACCAGTGCTCTGTGTTCAAAAGAAGCAAGTCCAGCCACTACTACTGCCCTGGCCCTCAGTAGAAACTATAAATTCATGAATTTGTAATATTATCTTTCCTAATTTTTCTGACAGATTATTTTTATGTTGATGCTATTGAGCAGTAATCTATTAATATTATTATTGATTTGATGTTATTTAAACATTAATGTTGTTCATGACACTAATTCATTCATTCACTGTAATATATGTATAACTGTAGAGCCTGATGATGAAGTTATCGAAAAGAGTACTCTTTGTTCACTATCCATTCTTTTAAATAAGAAGTAAAAAATTTTCCGAAGTTTCACTTGTCGAAATATGCTGTATTTTCATTGGATACTAGTAACTAGTGTGACGTGTCTAGTCCTTTCTTTGGTGCAGACTGGATTCTATCAGACAGTTTTTGTAATGTGGCCACCATTCTAGGTAGCTCGCCATCACGGTGCACATTGATTTGATGATATTAGATAGCTGGAGGCAATCGGCAGGAAGCCACACCTGAGCTAGGTTTCGTGCTACTTGGCACTCATCAGCTAGGCGCATCTGCAACCTTGAAGGAAATCATGCCCCTTCTGAGATTCGAACCCGCGTCACCCAGTGCTGCAGTAAGAGACGTTATCACTGAGCTATTCGGACTCGCGATTGACCGCCTGTAGGACTGTCCCTCCCAAATATGCTGTCCCATTATAGACACGGTCACACGTACTTCCTGGTAGCCTAACAGTATATCTCGCTATCTGAGAACATTATTTTGACTGTACTAACACTTTTAAAATAATGTAATTAGCCAATTAACTATGGAAATGTAACATACAGTCTAAATTTTTTTCTAGCTAAACAGCATGACGTTAGATAATTCTGACTAATATTGTGGTGTGTGCTACTGACAAGATTTGCCAGTAGTATATAGAGGGACATTCATAGGCACAAAAAATATCCAGTAGCGGAGAGATAGATTTGACGTCCAAGAGAGAAAATGAACCAGTATTGCGGAGGAACACATGTGAGACACGAAAAGAAGACAAATAAACATAATACGAAGGACGGAAGCAGCACAGTACAGCACAGAAAGTCTGTGCAAACGACGATTTTAATACATGGAATACATAATTTCCCTATATGTGTATATCAAATTGCAAATAAATATTCCGTTATCAAGTCTCTTGTCTTCTCGCGTTACAGTATGAGTGGCTTTCAAAGCACAGTAAACGATTGTGAATTTTCACCTTGAAAGGTGTAGTTTACAAATGACTAACTTGATTTTCAGTTAAACGTTTGAAATCATAGAACATTTTACAGACAGATGGAATTACAACCTAACAGAAATTCACAAAATGTCCAGAAATCAATGATCACAATCACGGTATATCATAACATGTCAGACGGTAGCTTTCTTCGATTGATGTCGAATGTATTACAATATTGAGGAAAACAAAGTATGGACACGGAACAAAGAGTACTCTTTTCGATAAATTCATCATCAGGCTCTACAATTATATATACATTATAGTAAATGAATTTTTTTTTCTTCACGTTCCCCAGTGGAACATAGGGCTTCAAGCTAGTGGCTTGAAGTTTCTGTAGCAGTGTTTATTTTACAGGATGGGGTTGCTTGCCTCATGCCCAACCTCTCCTCTTTACCAGAATTATTTCTGGCTCAGCGAGGTAAAGGAGTCTGCCGGGGATCGAACCCCGGACCATGTGCACGGTCGGCGAGTGTCCTAACCGCTATGCCACCGACGCATAGTAAATGAATGAATTAGTGTTATGAACGACATTAGTGTTGTTTAAATAACATCAAATCAATAATAATATTAATAGATTCCAGCTCAATAGCATCAACATAAAAATAAGCTGAATGTCAGAAGAATTCGGAAAGATAATATTACAAATTCATCAATTCATAGTCTCTATTGAAGGCTGGCCAGGGCAGTTGTAATGGCTGAACTTGCTTCTTTTGCTCACAGAGAACTGGTTGTTTGAGGCGAATTGCAATAGCCTCTGCTGTTCGGAGCATGCAGTGCTTCGACGATTTTGGCAATTTATTAGGCACCCGGTAGATGATAGAGAAGGATTCTTCAACGCTGGCTGGCTTTGGGACCGGTTTGCACTAGATGGTTCAATATCGAGCTGTTAATAGTTTTAACTACACCTTTACTTAGACATAGTGGGATATGTTCTCGAGCACGAAAAATCAAGTTCCTAGAGCAACGGCCAAAATAACTCGCTCCACAAGCACAGTTGAATTGATAAATTCAATTTGAAGTGGCTAGTCTAGGTACTTCATCTTTCAGTCGAGGTAGCACCATCGGTCGTGTAGAGAACAATAGGTGTAGTTCGCCAGCATTAAAAATTCTTTGAACTGATTTCCTTAATTTCTTCGTAATTATCTCGCTTGGTATATCGCCCATGAATCGTAGTCGTATATATAAAGGCTTCTTGTTTACAGACAGTGAGTAGTCCTTTTCCGCTTTCTTTGTCATGCGTTTTTTGATAAATTTGTCAGGATAACCATTTCCGATCAAAGTATCATATACAATGCTTAATTCACCTTCAATTGCTTCTTCTGAGCATATAGCTCTAACTCTGTGGCTGAGGGTCTTCACTAAATTTCTTTTGTAATTGATAGGAACGATGCTGTGAAAGTGTGTATATTGTCGTGTCCAAGTGATTTTTCTATGCAAATTTCTCTTTATGCTACCGTCTGGTTTTTTTGTAAGTAGGACATCCAGGAAGGCAATTCTGTCTTGGGATTCCTCTTCGCATGTGAATTTCATAGCCGAATGTACTTCATTGAATTCAGTAATTATTGTACTCCTATCAGAACCATTATCACAAAGAATAAAGGTTTCATCCATATATCAGCAATAAAATGAGAGCTTACTGATAAGGTTGTTCAGAGGTCCATTTTCTAGCTTACTTAGAAAGAAATCAGCCAGAATGGGAACCAATGGGGAGCCCATCGCAACTCCATTCACTTGCCTGTAAAGCGTGCCGTCAAATTTGAAGTTTACATTCATGGTACATTTTAATATCAATTCTTTTAGGAATTCAATATGGATTCCAATGTTTATCAACTGCTTGTCGACTTGTTCACATATATAATTAACCAAAGTAATCAAACCAATCTTTTTAGTGTATATTCTAATTTTACACACCAGCAGTATAAGTGTCTGGTGAAGTAGAAAGCCTAACGTTTTCAGCAACAGCAGGTCGCCTTGACGACCATTTCGTGTATACGAATCGGAAACTGTCCACCATTTTTTCTCTTACAATGATTTAATCATCGAAGTGTTGATTTGCAGGGATTTGATTGGTTCCAGGATTTCATCATGAGCTGACATCGGTGTTAGAGGACCATTGGAAAACTTGCAGGGAGACAGCTGGACAGCTGTTTCGTCCTAGTGTCTGGGACTCTTCATCAGTACGCACCCACCACAGGGAGTTCGAACCCAGGACCTTCTAGTTACAAGATGAGCCACTGGGACCCGATTTAATCATCAATGGAACTTTGACTTCACGGAGTAATGCAATTTCTGACATAACAATCCTTAAGGCATGGAGGAGAAAGTCTTCTAACCAATGCAGTTTAATTGCACCAGTTTGGTAAACAAATATAACCAATAATATCAAATTAGTAGAATCAATAATAAACGCGGCATAAGCTGGTAAAACTTCAAATCAATTTATTAAAAACTATGTCTATACAACAATTAAGTCGAGTAAATGAAGAATTGTGCGTCGGTGGCATAGCGGTTAGGACGCTCGCCGACCATGCACATGATCCGGCCGACCCCGCTAAGCCAAAAATAATGCTGATGAAGAGGAAAGGTTGGGCATGAATGAGGCTAACAACCCCATCCTGCAAAAAATAAACCCTACTACAGAAACTTAAGGCCTCTAGCTTGAAGCCCTATGTTCCACTGGGGAACGTGAAGAAAATAAAATGAAGAATTAGTGAGCATAACCTAAATCATTATTAGTGAACATCTGTAACAATTTACAAATAACACTATTGTGTTAACCTGCTCAATTGAATATATATACATTGTAGGGAAGTTACCTTTAGCAGAGAGAAACATTTTTCAAAGCAAATACAAAATATGTTAGATATAATAATAAGCAACAAAAACAGCAACAATAATATACACATATCATATCATACTTTAGCTTCATTGCGACGTTTGAATAGTTTCCTGCTGTCTAAGTATGGACAGAAACTCTCAATCTGTTTAGAAAATGAAGAGAACATACAGTAGAGTTAATTGATTTAATGCATGCTGACCGAAGGAAGGTGTATATACTATCGACAAAAAAAAGGTATTCACAATAATAAGAAACAAACGTATAAACAGAAAAAAACACTAAATAAAATTTGAGATTTCAATCAATAAACGATGAAAGGAGAACAGGACAGTTAACCACAATATTAGGACTGCTGAACTCTACCTCTTTTTTTTAATGGTGACTTTTGGTCATTTTAACATTGTTCATCTCTATATATATACTGTTTCTAACTGATTTGGATGATGGTCAGTATAGCTTTGTGTGATTACGTGAATGTGTAGGTGGGTATTACTTCTCAACTACATCATGGAGGTTTGTTTCTATTAAGGGTACCTGAAAAAGAAACAGTATTAGTGTTGTATGACCGCTTCTAGTTTAAGCGCTATCCAAACAACCTTTCTGGTTGAGTAGGACCTACAGGAACACCATTTCCAGCCACTGTAGCTCTTTGGATCATTGAGATATGTAAGTCTGACTACCATGTGAATGTAGCAGCTATTGGTCGGCAAGTTAAACTGATTCACTATTCCAAGGCATTTCCTCTGACCTTTCATGGTCATCTCACATCTTATCAATCTCTAAGAATATGTTTCGTCTTAACTCCTACTTTAAAAAGTTAAGACAGTCAGGTATCAACCAACCTTTACTTCTGCAGTTTGTTAACTTCCGTATTTTACCTATTGTACTCTATTCTCCATTAATCTTTCCTGGGCTTTTCAAAAAAGACTATATCATATTACGAAGGGTATTAAATGCTGTGAGTAGGGCTTGTGGTATGCCACTGCGTGAGCCCACCAATATTATAGTCGAGAGACATATAAAATCCTGTACAAAATGGGCAAAGGCCATACTATCACACCCTCTGCACCCCCTTCATTCACAACTATCCCCTTGCATCTCATCAGGTAGGACGAGAAGTCAATATAAGAAGTTATATGCTCGCACGACTAAGTACAAAAATTCTACAATACCCTATTTAGCCCGTATTTTATGTGATGGAGACACTGTTAGACGTGAAACATATAAGTTACTATGTAATTAGCAAAGTGAATCGACCCTTTCATCGTTCATCTTTCTGTAATTTTATGGTGTCACCCTTTCTGTCGTTTAATTATAACTTAGCGATTTTATTTTAGTTGTTATTACTATTATTACCACAACTTTATACTTTATGCATATTTTTCTCCTTATCGCATACTGTAATTGCTACATAGCTGCTATAACAACGTTTTGTTATTATTATTATGTAATGTTTATTTTTTGTCGTTTTGAGTAAATTAGATGCAATATTGTACTGAATGCTGAAAATTCCTCGCTGTATCATTAGTACTGTTTTTGGAATAAAGCAAATCACTTTAATGTAAGTGTAGAATTTGGGGCAATGTGATAGAATGTCTGTCGTTCCATACTGGATAAGTTTATTTGAAATAACACACACAACGGTGTAAAGAATTTTAGACTAAGGTATGTGTAATTTCATATTCATACCTCACACACATCTCTCAACCAAGAAACACCAGTATATACACATAGTAATCAAATACATGAGAGTTAAATAGGTTTATTTGAATAACACGAAGTGGCAATTCAGAGTAGTACTAATTGAAAGTACAAAAACCATAATACAGTAGCTACTAGACTTCTGCAAAAACTGAAATGAATAACTTCCAACGTTTCGTTAGGCAAACAACTGGTTCCAACTTCTTCTGGGAAATAATCAAAGGTAAAAATCAAAAGGAGGCATGTCCTCTGTTTAAAATCCTTCTCCAATCATATCTGAGTAACGCATACACATTAGTGTGTATATCACATACTAATATCTTCTAATTTAGATTTGCCTACTACATACCATGTCACACTATGACCTTTATTCGAATACTATCATTAAAGATTATTGTAAAAGTGCACATTGTTTACAGTGCATAGAAAAAAATTATGTTTGTGGAACTAGTTGAGATCAGACTTTGATAACAACAGTTCATCCAATTTTATTTATTTTGTTTTTGATAATTACTCTTCGTCTCATGACTTAAACATGATTGGACAAGAATTTTGAAGAGAGGACATGCCTCCATTGATTTTTATCTTGGATATTTTTATTTTTATTCCATTTATTCATCTGAAGATGTTTTGATCAGTTTACTGAAAGAAAAAATTGGAATTATTTATTTTTTTACGAGTTGATCACGGATTGATATCAGTTAGAGAACCAATGAAAACCAGGGAGTACTGGACAGCTGCTGTTTCATCCTAGTTTGGGAATCATCGGAAGTACGCACCTACTGGGGTTCAAACTCAGGACTTTCCAGTTACAAGGCAAGCTAACTCGTATACCATTCAGCCACTGGGACCCGATTCAATGGCTCATGAATTCTAACTTCTACCAATTCGAGATTTATTTATACAAGTATAATTTTTCCATGTGTCTACCTTTTACTCGGTGCCCAATTATTGTAGAACTATGCAGTCAAATCATGATCACAGTTCGTATAAAAGTGACTAGTAGATTTCATAGAATTACCAAAATGCACAAATAATCTGACTGTTATCCTTCGACTCCGTGATATGCATAATAAGCAGACATGGAGTGGACAGTATCTTGATTTCACCAGTTTTGTTCCTATCCGGTATAAACGTTCCCTAGTGAAACATGTTTCTTTTTTCAAGGGCCCGCAAAATATGTACGAGCGACACATTAGATAGATAGATGAGCTTCGACACATTCATTCAGTCTCATTGCCTAATGGTTATCCAGAAAACTTTATCAGTTGTCACAGTAAGGATAGACCACATCTAGAAAAGACAGCTTCTGTACCAAAGAAAGCTATCTTTATTTTAACCTACCATTCAAGGGTGACCAGATTATGCAGTTGACAGTTCAAAGACTTCGGTTAGAAAATCAAGCGCACATTCTACGCCGCATCTCTTCCCCTCACATCTTGCAAGTTCACTTGCAGTTGTGGTAACACTTATATAGGTAGAACCAATAGAATGTCCCAGTGTCGTCGAAAAGAACATGTTCCAAAATGGTTATTATTAAGACATGTATAAAATCTCAATGCAATTGATCTGAATAGAAATCCAGCATCATCATCCATTGCAAAGCACTTATTAATGTCAGGTCACAAAATCAATATTAATGACTGCTTCACAATTATTTTACATAGCTTTAATTCAAGGTTATTGAAGGTGATGGAAGCACTTTGGATTAATCACATACATCTTAAACTATGTGTACAAAAAACAATAGACTTCAACCTTTGCCTACCACAAACTACTTCACTATTTATATATGTTTGGCCATTCGTATGTACTTTTGTTTTATATAACTGAGTAATTGCCATGCATTTTAGTTTATTATTGTGAACCATGCTAGTTGTAAAGCGACTGTAGAGGAACTACGAAATGATGGTATCATCTCGCGAAATATGTCTTCTAAAAATGCCTTATTCAAATTTATCAAAGGGACTAAATGTTTTATAACTAACAAATATTGTATCAAGTTTGCCCACGAATTGATATCAGTTAAAGAACCGTTGAAAACCAAGGGGTACTGGTGGATAGCTGTTTTGTTCCAGTTTGATTTCCAATGGTTCTCAAACTGATATCAATCCGTCGTCAAACTTGAAACAAATCGAATCCCTACAAAATAACTCTTGATTACAAACACTGATTTAGCTGTGTACAATCTATTCATTTATTGCAGTCTTATATACAACCAATTTCACTTTACATACTTCGGTATCCCCGCTTAAACCCAACAAGAATAAACGTAATGGAAACAGTGAATTTGAAAGACAGTAAAGTTAAACTTTAAACAACAGTAACTACCAATCAGCGAATGACCTTGAACGCACCAATCACATGGAAGATACTATTTTTTGGTGTGAAATACATACATTTGTGAAACGGAATGTATAAAACTGTGTATCTAAAAGTGTTACAGAGGATACTTTTCTCTCATATGTGATAAAAACGACTCCCAATTCAACATAGGAGTATCGACAGAAAAGTTACACCACATCCTATACATGTATTCATCTAAATGACTATTAATAACTTTCTTTTGAGATGCATTAATTGTTTTAATTCGGTTTCCAACCTTCCCCGGAATCCTTCGAGAGAATTTGTGTAGGTTCCTGTAATGGGATCCACAAAATCATTAAAATGGTTCACTCTATAGTGAATATATCCAAGGGATGACAAGAAGCTAAACCCTTCCCACTCATCTGTGTGTATTGTAGATCCTCGTCGTTTCACCAGACGAGTGATAATAGGTATTGAAGTACTTGACTTTCTATCTGTTATTCTCCCCACAAATCTTTTTCGTAGAGAGGTATCGTATAATCCAATCATCCAAACATTATTTCCTCGTTCACAACCACGGTTTTATTTTCTCTCTAATAAGACGGTTTCATCTTCGTTACAATAAAGAAGTGAGTTTCTCCATTTTCCAAGATGCGATATCTATGCAGTGCTGATAGCCCTGAACGAGACTATTTTCTGTTTCAGCGGCTGCAGCTCTCACAGGCTGTTTTAAAACCCAGTAATTACAAATATACAAAATCTGGGTCCGTGACAGGTGGGACCTAGCAAAAAATGTTCTTACGAAATAGTACAGTCATCAGCTTATCTTCCTTCACACTAAATCATTCCAAACAAATTCCACAACTATGTCCATGCCCATCAAACGATCTGTGATAGAGCAGGCATTTCATTTGAATCAAGCGGAACAGAAGCTTGACCTCACGTGAAGAAACTCATAGGCCCGTTCAAGGTCATTGGTGCAGACGCATTCCGTTGGTAGTTACTGGTGCTTAAAGTTCAACTTGGCTTGAAAAGCCTGTTATGATGAACTAATTTTATAGATAGTACGGTAAAGACGTTTAACTCGAAGTGACTTTTATAGTATTGATCTGTAAATATTTCTCATCTTAAAAC